CTTATATACTCTCATTTCTTAAAGTCAGAAAACTCAGTTTTGTCTGCAGTTTATAACTGCCTTCCTTCCTTTCTTATAAACAGTTTTTCAGATTCTGTGTTATTCCTTTTGTATCATTGACTCCTGGACAGACAAAATAGAGTTAGACTTCTTAAATAGAACATCCTGTGTATTGGCCTAGATCAGTCATTTATAACTGGGTTTCAACATGACAAGTTACCAAAATTAATTTTTTTTTCTGGCTATTAGGTGACTCCTGGGAATCTAAGCAGGAAAGGAAATGTTTATCTGCTGAGCCTTTGCCTGGAAGGAAATGTGTACCTGCTGAAGCTGTTGGGTATAGAAGGCCTTAGCATTTGTGAACAAGCTTAGATTTCATCTAGTGGAAAAAGCCACAGTGTAGCTAGTTGAGGTAGTTGAGGAAACTGAGGACTCCCCGGCCTTGGACCTCACAAGTCTTGATGTGAGAAAACTCTCTAAGAGAGGAAACTCAAGTCTGTTCAGCCTCCTTACTTTAGAGGGAACATAATTGATTCAGAAGCAGCTATTTGTTTGAAAATAGCTGATATTTGTTGAAAGTGACTAGATTCAAAATAGTAGTGTGGATTAAAAAGAGTTGAGTATAAAAGAGTGAGGTTAGCCCAGCACAGTGGCTCACTGTATTCCCAGCACTTTAGGAAGCCGAGGTGGGTGACCTGAGGTCAGGAGTTCGAGACCAGCCTGGCCAACATGGCGAAACCCTGTCTCTACTAAAAATACAAAAATTTGCTGAGCATGGTGGCGGGCACCTGTAATCCCAGCTACTCAGGAGGCTGAGGCAGGAGAATCACTTGAACCCAGGAGGGAAAGGTTGCAGTGTGCCAAGATTGCGCCATTGCACTCTAGCCTGGGTGACAAGAGCAAAACTCCATCTCAACAACAACAAAAGAAGGTTATAGATATCTTATTTTGCAATATATACTGATAGCTTCAACAACAACAGAATACAGTGGGTGGGTCAGACACAGCTGCTTTTTGGGATGTACTAAATACCTACTGCTTCCTTCCTGTACTTGAATACTTTTGCCCTACACGATATCACCATTTTGCAACTCTCTCTTTTTACCCCTTTTCCTTGATGAATTTTTGAGATGTTCATGGGCAAATTACCCATCAAGGTATTGTGTTAATGGGGACTTACTGAGGGACGTTGGCCATGGAAAATGGGTCTGGCTGGTTCTGCAGAAATCTTCTTGTTAGAGCGGGCCTGGGGGCTACACTGAAGTGTGACTTTGGGCCTCCCTTTCTGTAACTTTACCTCCAGATCCTTTACTGTATCGTTATCATATCATGATGCCACATTCGTTTTTACCTGAACTCCAAATGCTCAAAGTCTAACACCCATCCATGCAGTTCCCCATTCAGATCTTCTGCCTGTTTCCCCACTCCGTGCCCTGTGAATGAAACAGATGGCTTTCCCGACCTCTAATTAAGCCTACCCATATTGATTTGTTCCTTCTAATCCTTAGTATGTGCTACCTCTTCTTTTCTGTGCCGAAGTGTGACTAGCCAATAGTTATTTCCCCTGTCAGTGGTATTTTACTAGGCAATTATTGAAAATAGAATGCCATCACCCGGTAGTGATAAATCTAACATTTCTCGTAGAAGATATAGGTGGATTAGTTACTTCCTGTGTCCTTCGAAGTACACTCACTAAGTCTGAGCCATGCTTTACTGCTGAAACATCCTAGCAGAGAGAAGTGGCTCAGGGTAGCCCTCTTGTGGTGGACATTCCCAGGACTCTTCTGGTGGCTAAAGAAAAGGTAGCCCTCGAACAGTCTTTTTATTATTTTGATTTTATTGTCACCAGTATGAATATCCTCCAAGTCAAGAATCTGTAAATAATACAATGAAATGCTAAAAACAAATTTCAAAAATGTGAGCAAGCTCTATTTCTATTCTTAAAATAGCCCACATTTCTCAAATATGTAACTGTTTGGTTCAGAATTTGAACCACTACTTAAAAAGAACAGATCATTCAAATGTGTATCTTTTGAATATTTTTGTCATCTGGAAATGCCTGAGCATAAGCCCTATGACAGATCTTCTTGGCTAACAAAACCTGTTGACATGTCATCAGCCTTCAGAATAGAAGAGAGCCAGCGTCCCATGATTCTAGGGATAAACATCTCCCACTGGAAAAATAGTACATTAGGTAGCTAGTAATAATCTAAACAGGTAACCTCTATGGATAGTAAATATTCTGTGTGTGATCCTCATAATTTTATACCCCAAAATAGTATTTTAGGAGGATCAAAATTATAACACACAGTTGAAATTGCCATTCTAGAACTCAAATAACATAGAACTAAACTTGACAGAATCAGCTGTGGAACTTTATCAAAAGTTTGAAGCCTGGAACTCACCACTGGATGGTCTGAGTCAGAAGTCTGGAAGAGAGTTCCAGCATTGCTTTTTTTCATTTTCATTCTTTGTGTGATTATCGTATGCAGTAGGGGCTGAGTGAGAGTAACACTAAACCGTGATTGCCTTGGTGGAATGCTGTGGGTACTCCCAGGAGAGACTCTCTAAATTTGTGAATTTATACCAGTGTAGTGGGCTACTCAGGAGGTGAACAGTCACACTACATGTCACATTTCAGGGAATCACATTTCAACAGAGCCGACCAGGCCTGTTGAAGACAAGGATTTCTTACTCTTCTTTGAGTCCTCTTGGTCTAACTGGTACAGAGTTGGTATTCACAAATATTTGTTAAATGGAATGTTAATTGAAGTACCCAAGACCTTAGGCATTAAAGATAATGTAAGATTCAAGAATTTTGCTAGACCAGGCGCGGTGGCTCAGGCCTGTAATCCCAGCACTTTGGGAGGCCGAGGCAGGCGGATCACAAGGTCAAGATCTTATGACCATCCCGGCCAACATGGTGAAACCCTGTCTCTACTAAAAAAGACAAAAATTAGTTGGCTGTGGTAGCACGTGCCTATAGTCCCAGCTACTCGGGAGGCTGGAACAGGAGAATTTCTTGAACCTGGGGGGCGGAGGTTGCAGTGAGCCGAGATTGCACCACTGCACTCCAGCCTGGCGCTTGGTGACAGAGCGAGACCCTGTCTTAAAAAAGAAAAGTTTTGCTAAACAACTGAGATCACATGATCTTAAAGTACTTTGAAAATCGCAAGGGGCAGACATTATTCAAGAAGGAAAGATCACTTAAAATATGACCCTTATAGTAGCCTTTGAACTTTAACACACACAAGAATGAGTTTAGGCTGGGGGCAGTGGTTCATGCCTATAATCTCAGCACTTTAGGAGGCCAAGGAGGGAGGATAATTTGAGCTCAGGAGTTTAAGACCAGCCTGGGCAACACATCAAGACCTTATCTCAAAAGAAAAAAAAAAAAAAATTAGCTAGGCATGGTGGCAAGTGCCTGTGGTCCCAGCTATTCAGAAGCCTGAGGCTGGCAGATTGCTTGAGCCTCAGAGGTTGAGGTTGTAGTCAGCCATGATCACATCACTGCACTCCAGCCTGGTTAATAGCACAAGACCATCTCAAAAACTAAAACAAAAAAGAATAAGTTCAATTTTTTAAAACTTGTTCTCTTTTTCAATATTTTCTATCTTCTTTCCAGTGAAAATAGAAACACATTTCCCCTTTTATTGTTAAATATGTTTAAAGGGTAAAAGAATACACAACGGGAAAACAATACAAGCAAGAAATCAGAAGCTCTCCAGTCTCATAACAACCAGGTTGTCATAGCAGAAAGAGAACAAATGAGTAACGCTGCAGGATCATTCTGCAAACAGAAAACTAAAGATTAAATAAGTGCTGACATGCGTAAGGCCATGTTGCTGTGTTTACCTTCAGATTTTTTTAACTAGTAAGGTAAAATCTGTTTGCCTTTTTATTTTGGCCCAGTGTTTATATTAGCTAAGAACACAAGCCTCTTTAGATAATTATCAAAATAAATACTCATTTATATGACTCTTAGGTCATACTTGGAAGACAGCGTATCATCTCTCTCATTTGGACATAGAAGAAAACTGAATTTAAAATTTGCCAAGGGCCAGAAATCAACTTCTCAGTCTCCTCTCATATCCAGCATTCTTATTTCAATTTTCTTCCCTTCACTTCTTGGAATTTTAAACTTCAACCCACTCCACCAGGAATGAGAAGACCTGGATTCTATTCTTGGCATGACCAGTAAATGGCTTTGTGACCTTGAGCAGATGACTTACCATCAGGGCCTCTTCCCTCAACTGTAAAATGAGAAGGTTAGCTAGATGATTTCAGAAGTTCTTTCTGGCTCCAAAATTCCCTAAGTCTGGAAACACCTGCTAGTGACATTTATGCCCGCACTATTTCTCTTCTGCCCTTTTCAAAATGTTTTTTATTGTGGCTTAATATTATTATTAATATAGATTTTCTTTTCCAGTTCTCTTCAGAATTTTCTTTTTTGTTTTTTGACAGCAGGTGTTATTTCCATAATTGTTTTAATTAAGTATCATTATGTACATTTCTTTACATATCTGTTATACATTGAAATAAGATTAGTATCTCATCAGGTATGTGTGATGTAATTCTAAAACGTAGGGCAATCATTTGTGAATTTCATATTTGAAGATTTAAATGTGCAAATGGTTTAAAGATAAACTTTAAACTATTACACAACAAATTGCATTTTCTTCATAAGGTTTTTAGTCATTCTGACACCTGCTTGAAAATCTCAGACAGTTCAAGATATCTGAATATAATGGTAGGACTGAGTATACCAGCACCAATCTTTTAAATCCACTCATTTTATGTACATAATTGTGGGCACCTTTAAAAGTTTTCTTAAATGAAAAAAAGTTTTCAAGGGAAAGTCTCAAAACCTGTGCTGAACATTTTTTGCCTTTGCACTCTATCATTTCATTGTCTTACTTTCTTTTGGGTATGAAATATGGCATGAAAGTTATATATAAATAATACATAATATAAATTATATGTATATGTAATTTAATAGAAAAGGTTGGCAAATACTAGGATAAGTGGCAAACTTGGAGTAAACTTTTTGTCAAAGACTTTCACTCTGTGTACAATTTAAGATCAGCTTTGTCATGAAGAAGATGAAGGACTTGCAGTTACTGGGACATCCATGAAAAAAGAGATTGAAATGGGTAGTACACTATGAAGTATAGCCCAAGGTAACATCTCTTATAACTTAGACACATACTATCTGAATTTTTCATAGGATTTAGAAATAGTCTTAATTTGATTTACAAGTGATACACGGAAGTTAAGAAGTTTGTAGTAGAAGAAAGGTAAAGGAAACAATGTTTTTTGTTTTGTTTTTCTGAGACAGAGTCTTGCCCTGTCACCCAAGTTGGAGCTCAGTGATGCAATCTCCGCTCACTACAACTTAACGCTTCCCGGGTTCAAGCAATTCTCCTGCCTCAGCTGCCCAAGTAGCTGGCATTACAGGCCTCCAACACCACGCCCAACTAATTTTTGTATTTTTAGTAGAGACAGGGTTTCACCATGTTGGCCAGGCTGTTCTCGAACTTCTGACCTCAAGTAATCCTCCTGCTTCAGCTTCCAAAAGTGCTGGGATTACAGGCGTGAGCCACCCCACTCCACCGGAAACAGTGTTAAGATAATTCTGTATTGATGTTTTTGGGCAAATCCCTCCTCCCTCTCTTCTTCTCTCACAGAATCTTCTTCCTAGCCTCATAAGTATGGAGGTAGACATGAGCTACCCTTTATTGTGTGCTTGGCGCTATATATATTCCTGCATATTCTTATGGCCTCTTGAAGTAAGTATAATTATACCTTTAAGGAGGAAACAGGGTCTTCAAGCTCACACAGATAAGTGGTGGCAGTAGAACTGAAACCTAGATCTCTGTGACAAAATTCCATGGTTTGCAATCATGCCCTTTTCAAGGCACGATTCAAGTTTCAAGCTCTTTTCCTCCACGTGGGTCCATTTCTATGGACTTTTGCAGGATGCTTTACCACTATGAGCCTTGAGTTTTTCAGTAAGATCAGGTTATCAGTATCTACAGTCAGAATTGCTATAAGGGTGAACTCAGATAAAGGTCTGTTTAAAGTACTTAGCACAGAACCTCGTAGAGAGTTGTCCTTCAGTGAACAATCACTATTATTACTCTGTCACTGTTGTTGTTATTACTGCTGTTGAGATTATGATGTCAGGCTTTCCAGACAGTTGTCTGGTAAGTTCCGTTCAATTGTCCTACATGAATTAAAGTCCTACTATGAGCAGGTTACTACTACTAAACTGTAGCTCCTCATGAGATGTTTATCTGGAAGTAAGTGAAAATAATGTGAGTGAAGTTGTATTGCGTTAAAGACAACACCAGGGAAGCTCTTCAGACTTGAAGATAAGACCTTAGTATTTAAACTTGTATATTTGCAGAAAGTTAGGCACAAAATTGCACTAGAGACTTTTTTAACTAAATTAAACCAAATATCATCAGATGCCTGTGTGTACAAAGCCATAATAAACCTGGAAATATCCCTGGGGAGGCAAGAGCTCCTAGCATTTCAGAACAGGCTGATTTGATCATCATTTAGAGAGCTCTTCCATACCTTTGGGCTGCTTTCTTTTCCTATGGCTGCAGCACATTTTAATGGAAAACAAGCCCATAGGTATCTCATTTGAGGGGCCGGGGTGTTTGTGTGCTTTGTCTTCCCACAGTAAGAAATTGCATCCTTCCCCATGGGCTCTGATTTTCTCTAATGTAAAGATGTCATTGTTACTGTAGATAAAAGCAACACACTGTCAGAATCACAGAGAGCTAAGAGGTTGGAGTTTACCTAGGTCCCATTTCCATTGTATTTGAAGATAGACGTTTGATAAGTTTTCACAGATCTTTTGAGAGCACATAATATATATAATTTTGCTACACATGTTGTTCTGCCACACCCAGATGCAAACTTCTAAAGGCACTGCAGAGTACATCCTGCCACCAGCTGAGAAAGAGAAAAAGAGAAGTATGGAAGAAGGGAGATAATTCTTGCCTGTTAAAAAAATGAGTTTACTTTCCTAATAAAATAAATCTAAAATTGGCCATTGTCATCGTGTGATGTTAACAACCAGCTCTTTTGGCAAGTTTGAAAATACTGGGCTCCATTATAAAAGCTAAAAATGTCCTGGACCTGGAGTTGTTTACCCAGAGCATGAGCTGCTCTAAAGTTACAGAGCTCTGGTTGGAAGAGGTGGCTTGAAGGCCGCCTCCAAGTAACTGACGTCACAGTAGTCTCAGCTGCTGCTGTGACACTAAGCTGAGCAGCTTTTTGACTCGTAAAAGTGGTGAAGGTTTCAAAGGGACTTGTCAGTACTGCTCTGTGGAATGGTTGGACTTATTTTGCATCCTCTTTTCTTGTAAAGAATTGAGATTCACCGAGCTGAGACTTTTCTCTTTAAGACAGCTAGTCCTCCACTCTACTTTCTTCCATTGCTAGATTGACCAGTGGTCTAGCATCCATAGGATTTCTCCCCAGTGCAAACAGGTATGTTTCTTTCTGGCAAGTTTACAAGCAAGTGACTAATAATGGCAGGATACAGAGGGGCTGCTGTTGAGATGTTTCAAACTACGCATGCTGTTTAAGTGGAGAAGTGGAGCGTAATTTCAACATCTGTCTCTGCTGTTGTCTGTGTCTGGGCTTAAAAACAGTGGGCGGGGTGCATAACAGATTGTACTGACTCTTAGGAAAAATGCTGTTCAGCTGCTGTGGGTGGGTTTCCCAACTCTGGACTGACAGTACCATTCGCTGTCTGAGACTCTGTTTTTCCAACACTGCTTCTCAGTTGTTTGAAAAGCACTTTGCCCATCATTGATTTTCACTAAGTATGTTTATTTGAATGTGGTTTTTTTTTATTAGTATGAAGACTTTTAATATTTGCAAATGAAAGTTCACAATCCTTGAGATTGTTAGTACTTGAAAATTGCAGCGAAAAATAAATTTTAGTTTTATCTAAGGTGATGGTGGATTCACTGTAGAGTGTTTCTGTAATTTGAGCTGACATCTATGCCATTTATAATTGGATAATCTGTGGTTAGGTGGGAAGCTTACCACTACGTATTTTGTTCATGATAGTTAGTTTTAGACATTTGTTTACTCAAACCAGACGTTTGCTTTTAAAGTTTGCATTTTTTAAGTTAAGTAAAATCAGTGTGCTTACAGCTTGGATGTTTTCTAATTTGAGTAAAAAAAACAAGGAAGAAGATAATTAAATGAGACAATAAAGTTGATTCATTTGGAATTGCATGTGGTAGTGTCTCTTTGACCTTGTTGGAGCATGTGGAATGTGTGGAAATAGCAATAAACAGCAATGAAAAAATTTCCCTTTTACCCTGTAACAAAATCAAATCATGGTGGTCTTTCGAAAGATTCAGTTGCAAGTGAAAAACAGAGAGGAATGAGATCTATTAGTTGAAATAATTCAAGTGATTCATTATAGCCTGGAGAAAGGGATAAATAATTTAGGGGGTAAATGGCACATTACTCTGATACATTATAGGCTGGAAATTCCTAATCCCTCAAAATTAATCAGAAACAAAGCATCTTCAGGCCAAATGATTCTTCTAGGTATTGTGAGATTAGCAGCACTTATTGTGTGTGGCATTTCTATAGGAATATATAACCTCTTATAAATGAAGTCTTTAATTATATGAAAAGTGATATGTTTAGTTAAAGGAAAAAAGGACAGCAAGAAACAAGTACTCTAAACAATAATCAAAAAGAGAGAAGTAGAAATGGAGCAGCCACCCCTAAGGAACGCTGTTGAGTTTGTTTGACTATAATCCAGTTTTCAATGGGCAAGATGGAGGTTGAAAGGGTAGTGATCAAGGTGTCCTAAGAATGGAGCCCCTCTCAGAAAAGGAAATTGTGGCCATGACCAAACTGAGGCTAATTTGGGGGATGAAAATAATTTCTTGTGAGACTTGTGTGTTACTCTTAAACTTTGCTTACTGGTAGGGCCGGAAGGCTAGCAGAACTATTTGCCTCCCATCACCATACTTATGCAACCCACTCACAACTCTTTATAATTCTGGCTTTCAGCCCTTGGAAAGGGGAAGTAAGTTAAAAAGGATTATGCAATGCTGGTCTAGAGTTGGGGTGTGTAAGTAAGTAATACAGCTCACTCTGTCCTTTTACATTTGCTCGAATAAATTTTTATTCTGAATGGAATTCTAGAAGGAACAACATAAACTGGAGAGTCAAAGAGATATGGGGTAGGGGGCACAGATAGCAGAAATCCTTCCTTCTCTCCCACATAGATGCCGGTATCTGTGGGAGAAAATGAGTGACAACTAGGAACAAAAAGAACTTTTATTTTTGCCCCAGTAGAGAGCACTTAAATCAAGTTTTGAATCTGCTTTACCCCATAACTTGTCATTACAAAACATTATGTCTCTACAAAGTTGTCCCTTTAGTTTGACTGTTATGTAATATTTAAGTCAGATTTATAACAAAAGCAGTTTTACATAAGATTTGTTCAACTTTTTACTAACAATTAAACTTTCTTTCTTTAAATACTTAATTTGACATATATCCTTAAAATACTGGAAAAAGGCAAAAGACGATCATGGAGAAGATGAGTGTTCACACAGTTACACTTGCCTCTACCTCATTTTAAAATAAAGATCAAAATAATCAGGTTTTTTTCTAGATAACAACAGGAAGAGGGATAGATGAAGAAAAGAGAAGAGAAAGGGAAGGAGGGAGGAAAGACAAGAAGAGGGAGGGAGGGAACAAGGGACGGAAGGAAGAAAACGAGAAGCAAGTATGTATTAGGCATTTGCTATGATCCAGAGCAGTGTTTAGGCACTTCTCTTAAGCATTGTTCATTTAATCTCCAAAACAATTCTATGGCCCCCCACTTTATATTTAGAGGTGGAAGCAGTATGCTGGGCTGCATTATATCTAACATTATATTTATGACAAGACCAAGATTCTAATAAGGCTAAATCCTTCCACAAAAAAGTTGGCACAGATATTGCTCTATAGAAATGTTCTTGCAAATGCTTGTTTTTGATCCATAACAATTACATTTTTTGGCACTAGCAATTGCTCTGGGCCTGGAAAGGAAAATCTCCATAGATTGGCTCTTCTCCATATTAAGTGATGAGTTTGGCTCTTTGCAAATAGGTGCAGGATTCAGTCTGCTTCAGGACTGTTACCTGGGTTTAGATATAGTCCTTTTACCAGGAGCAAGACTTATTCAGAGTATTCCTGGATGATTTTCTGATAGGTTAAAAAGAGAAAGGTCTGGCATCTTTCAACAGTCATGTGGAAGCGGTTCAAAAAGAGTTAGGAATAGAAAGAAAAATTGGAGCCATTTGCTACATAATTGTAGAAAAGATTTTATGGTGATTTCTGAACATTTCCAGTGTTTAAAGACAGTTGGGTTAAAACATGGAATATCGTAGCTCCTCTTTTTCAGGTAGCTTGAAATTCATCCTCATCTTTTTTTAGCTTCTTTGGTTAAATCTGCAGTTATCTGTTATTATCTCAAACCACACCATTTTTCCTAAAAAGTTCCAGTGGCAAATACTTTCTAGTCAGCAGGATAGTTTCACCACACAGTTAATTACATATAGTTTTAAAGCTGTCTGCTAGTTTCAAGACAAACATTATCTGCATTTCCTATGAAAGATTGTTAGATGAACCTAAAAGATTAGTAGGTAATCAAGATCGATGGAAATTAGATTAGCTAAAACAAAAAACATCAAAAAAAACTATGTTCTTTACTATCTTCATTTTGTTTGCTCTTCATTAACATTTATTATGGCAAGTACTTGAGGTTACTGGCTTATAAGTGGGAAAGATAGCAGAAAGGGGTGATAGAGGGGGTGGAAAAATGAGGTTAGAAATTGAGCATGGCTAAGTAGATAAAATGAGACATGATAACACCTTTAATAGATCTGAAATTATATATTTTTCTTGAAAGAATTACAATATAGTAGAGTAGAGTTACAATATAGATCCCAAAATTATTAGGGTGATTTTAAGGTAGAACCCTGCATATATAGCTAATGTTTTTCATTCTTATTCTATTCTAATTCATTGACTGTGACTCAAAAAAACGTATATTCAAAACTGTTTACCACTCAGATATGTACGTTCAGAACAGTCTGACAAAAATAAAATTAGTCTTCGATATTTATCTTATACTTAGGATATGAAATATGCCATTATCTTTTGTGAATACAAAATTGGCACTTGCTGGTTGGGTATGTGGGCTTAATTTGGGAATGCCAGAACCCACAAAGCTACTGACTATTGGGATCTTTGTCTATAATTAGCATAAGCTGCCACAAGTAAGTCATAGCAATTTGGTAATGGCCTAGTGACTGAAGAGTTAGACATCTTGTAGGCATAATTATCTTACACAGAGATTCAAACATTTTAAACATGCTTTTCTACCTCCTAAAAAGGCACATGACTTTATTAATACAAAATTATTTTTAATCGAAGTCAAAACAAAATTTTGTAAAGCCAAAAATAGAAAACTTTCTTAAATTTCTCAAACTACTTTGGATTCAGTATGCCATTTAATCTTTTTTAACAGCTCTATGACTATTCCCATTTTAATGTAAAAATCTAAATCTCAGAAATTTTAGACTTATACCAGAGTTACATAGCTGGTATTTTAAATTGTGACTTCAAACCTTAAATATGCATACCCTGAATTCTAGAAATTTCATTATTTTAGTCACTACTTAATGTAATAGAGGATTCCCTGAAAACTGAGCTACATGTTTTCTTCAGTTCTCTGTATTCAATTTCCTAAGCACTTTATGTCAGGGGTATAGTCTATTCAAAGGAAAAGAGAGCATGGATAAATTTTAACATATATTTTACAGTATAGTTTTGATGCTTCTAGATTTTCCTTTATGAAGTGACATAATGAATTTTTAAATATAATTTAGGTTAGTTTCTCAATGGTACATCAGTCCCAAGTTGACTACCAACTTTGGGGTCTTAATAAGTAACACAGTAATGACATTTGGCACAGGCTTGATCTCTGAATGAAGAATTAAGATTGCAACCCAGCTCTGGCTCAGGAATTTAAGTCATAAGAATATATAAGCAGGTTGTATCAGAACCAAAAAAATAATTTTATTGCAGCAGAATCTGCCACAGTGTGTAGACGTGACCATACATTTGAATTGTATACTTCTCCTCTTAGATATTCATGAAAAAAAATCTATTTTTAGAATAAATGGTTAAAGGAATGATTGTCTCACATGTGCATTTAATTATCTTGTCCACTATAATTTTGCTGTCTGGTCTCAGAAAGGGAAAAAAACCTTTGGACAATACTTATTACTTTATTGACTGTGTTAGTTTCTTCTTCTTAAGTAGACTCTTGTCATCTCTTTTCTTTTGAGTCCAATTTTCCTATAGTTTGTTTATGTCAATGGCTCGACAAAATGATAAAATATATTTCCAAAAAGCACATGGATTTGGAACTCTCTCTTGTTATGTTTATATTAGGCTTTATTTTAAAGGCAAGTGAGACTGCTTCAAATAAAACAACTTCAAGCTTCCAAGAAACAGTTAAGAGGAGGCAGAGAGGAGCAGAAACACTTCTTTGCCGACACTGACACTGTTGCCATGGACCTACATAAGCAGTGGGAGAACACAGAGACTAAGTGGCATAAGGAAAAGATGGAATTACTGGACCAGTTTGACAACGAAAGAAAGGAATGGGAAAGTCAATGGAAGATTATGCAGAAGAAAATAGAAGAGGTACAAGTTAATTTGTTGTGGATGTACTCTAATGTTTAAGTGCAGGATGACTGTTTTGATTGGAAACTTTTTATTTTCCTTATTCCACCTAAGAAGTATATAGCATAATCTTACTCAATGGTATTGTAAGGATTATTTTATATCATTGCATGAAAATTAAGCATTTCAAATGTCACTCCAAAATGTTTCAACTTATTATTTTCTGGCTAGAGAGCCTTTTTATCAAAAGTGAGGTATGTATTTTGCGTGAGTTTTCAAATACCAGGGCCAGGAGTAAAATGCAAGAAAGATATACTTGGTGGGACATAGATTAGCAAAATTATAATTGGGCATTAGAACATAGATCCTTCCTAAGAAGATTTATGAGTAATATCTATTAAAGGAAATTACATTTTAGATAACTCATTATAATCAAAAGGAGTATCATATATCAAACAGAAAATGGCAGTGGACATGAGATTTATTCTATCAACTTATATACATTTATTGGCACATTTATTGAAAAAGAGGTTATGAAAAATAACATATCATGAGTCTGACAGTCATTTTGTTCCCATTAACCTTCCCTCAGTCCGTTGACCCTGAAAATTTCCTTCAAGCATTTGCATTGATGTATATTTAAGCTTTTGCACCAACTGGAAGTAATTTATGCTTATCTTGCTTTCTTTTAGTAACATCCATAGTATTGACTTTATATGGTTTTGTGCGCATTACCAAAGTTGTTATTTTAAGACTTCTTGGCCTTTTTTGCAGGCAAAGTAAGTGCTTTATGTTTTCATAGTGCAGTAATTTTTCTTATTAACAGCCATGTAATTGACTGCAAATAAAATATGAATTGGCATAGTAGGAAGAAAACTGAAGTAAAGTAGCTATCAAGCCCTTCCTCTAAAATAGAGCTGAGAAGGCAGGTATGTAGTATATGATGAGGGATTAAAGAATATACTTCTTGTCCCTGTAGTTTGGAAAATGTGTCCTGCTTGCTCCTTTAACTCCTCTACCCATACTGAGATTGTATCAACAAAGAGATGCCCCGGTCAAATCAGAATCCAAAACTCCAGTTCAACAGAAACTGATCTGTAGTCATAGGTCATTGGCTTTCACATGTTTGGGAAGTTCATAACAGTCTCAGACAATTCTAGCATCCAAGCAAAATACCTAAGAGAAGCAGGATTCATCTAGCCAATTTTTAAAGCCGTGTAGTCAAAATAAACTGCTGTCTGATTAAATTGATTACTGTCCAATAAGTATTCTGACAATTCTACAGGGTTCATTTAAGGTAAATATTATTAGCCTTATCAATTAGCAGGCACGAAATATGCTTTAGACATCTAATTATACCTCACAGAGATAACATCCCTTTCCAGGGAGATAGAAGGGCTGTCATATTTTTTTCATCTTGGAGAGTAGCTGTAGTACTGCTTATGTTTTACTTCCTGTACTATACAGCTCCATAACTGGGAATTTGTTTAGATAATGTACTTACTCCTAATGCCTGTAGATGATGCTTTTCAATAAAGACTTGGATACCAGCACTGTGCTGCCCTTACTAATATATATGCCAAACATTTATAAAACATACCTTCTTACAGGCTTCAAAGCTAGGGGTAAAAAGAAACAAGAGAGGCCGGGCGCGGTGGCTCACGCCTATAATCCCAGCATTTCGGGAGGCCGAGGCGGGTGGATCACGAGGTCAAGAGATCGAGACCATCCTGGTCAACAAGGTGAAACACCGTCTCTACTAAAAATACAAAAATTAGCTGGGCATGGTGGCGCGGGACTGTAGTCCCAGCTACTCGGGAGGCTGAGGCAGGAGAATTGCTTGAACCCAGGAGGCAGAGGTTGCGGTGAGCAAGATCGCGCCATTGCACTCCAGTCTGGGTAACAAGAGCGAACTCCGTCTCAAAAAAAAAAAAAAAAAAACAGAAAGAAAAAAGAGAAACGTTTCTTCACATGTCGCAGAGAATCCATAAAATTTTTTAAACTAAAATTAAGAAATCAACACTTGGACAAATAACCTCATGCCATAAGCATAACTGAATTTGTTTAACATTTATCACAAAGTTCTCTGTATTAAATCAGATGTAAATTATTAAGCCATATACTGGAGAATTGTAAATTCCCAGGTATGCACATATATCTTCAGTGATTTTAAGTGATAACATCTAATGAGAGGATACAGGCTATTAAGATGCTCATAGTTCTCTGTTCAGCCACTATCCACAATCATTGCATTTGCTGTGACAAAACCAAGATGTTCATACTTGGATTATTTGAAACTTGGAATAATCCAGATAGAAACTCTGGATAGAATTTATAGACATCTGGATTTTTTTTCACACTTTAGTCTCCTGCCTGTATCCTTTGATAGAATAATCAAATAACCATTGACAAGGGCTGAGTACCAAGTAACTTAGATTCCCTTGAACAAAATCGTTTTCCATCAATAACACTGTTATTTGTTTATTCATACCTCACCTAAGTCCCCAAGAAAATTTAAGATGGCATAAAATTAGGTATAACATAAAATATGCAAAAACAAAAATGGAAAGATGAGCTGAAGACAGTAGGAAGGATCATATGTGAAATGTACCAGTGAGTCTTTCTAGTAACTAACAAAAATTATTAGGTGCATGTATCTTCAAATTCAAATGATAAGGCAAATTTATTTCCCAGGAATAGCATGCTTTCCCCCTGGTTTTGCAACTAAAGCAATTTTGTTTTCACCCATGACTTCTCAAAAACAGGACAGTGTCACCAACACCATCCTTAAATTTAACATGTCACTTTTTAGGGTTGCTTCTTATAATATCCCTCAAGGTCTGCCCAAATCATAATGCCCACAGAAGTTCAGTACAAATAATTTGGCAGGGACCGAACGATCGATGCATGGCTTCAGTTTGATGCTATCCTGACTTCATATAATAAATACTAATAAATTTATAAGCATTAGAAAAATAAATGCACATATATTTTTCAGGCATCAATTTCTAGTGCTTCTCTCAACTGAGTTATCAGTATATATTAAGCAGCAATAAATCTGTTATATTACTTGAATAATACATGTGGTGTAGATGTTGATTGTGGCTGTTAAATATAGAGTCATTTGCTTTGATAGTCATCTGACAGTCTCTTGCAGTTTGACAAGATTTTACGTGACTCAGGACTAAAGAGAAAGCCACTTCTTTCCTCTATTCAGAAGTGAAGTGAATGAGTGTGTTTAGCAGGTTTAACTAAGATGTCATAAAGAAGTTATTTGGGGTCTGCTTTAATATGACTAATCGATGATCAAAGCCTTGCAGTTCTATTATATCATGTAGGGTATTATCATATTTGTTTTAATCTAGATGAGAAACTTTTTAAAAATGTGTATCACCTTGACAAATTTTTTAAATCTCAGTAATATTTAGCCCTCATCAATGTAATTGACCAATCAAAGGAAACATCCTTTGACGGACAAGTGACTATTTAGGGACCAGAATAAATTGACTTACTATATGAGATTGTCAAGTATTTATTTAGACAGTTAAATATTAGGGTACAAGTAGGACCAGACATTTTAAAACTATGACTTTACTGTTAAATTCTCACTACACCCTAAAAGCAATTAGGTGGTATGGCCAGTAATTGATTCAGACCACTCTAATTTTGTGACAGTGTTTCTGTATTTATATACAGATACAGATTTATTTTATTTTTGAACGAGTTGATTGCTAGTCAGAAAGACTCTGCATCCATGTATTGCCCTGCTAAAAGTAGCCTTTATGTTTCATCAAACTTGTTCCAGCAAATCCATATTTTAGAGGCACTATTAATACCCGGGAATTATATTTGAATAAGGCAAAGAGACCTCAAAGCAGTTTGCTTAGTATCAAGAGTATTATTAACAAAGTGAATTAGGGGAAAAGAAATTTTAATTTTGTTTTCTTACAGCTTTGCCAGGAAGTAAAGCTTCGGAGGAAAATCAATATGAATGAACGTGCTAAGATCATTGATCTTTACCATGAGAAGACCATTCCAGACAAAATAGTAGAATCTTCCCCAAATTACCCTGATGTAGGACAATGTGAATTTACAAGGATGAATCTCAAAGATGGTCTGAGAAATGAAAATAAAACAGAACAGAGCTTAGTCAGTGGAGGAAATCAAATGTGTAAGGAACAAAAAGCAACAAAAAAATCAAAAGTAGGGTTTTTGGATCCTCTGGCTACAGACACCCAAAAAGAATGTGAGGCCTGGCCTGACCTGAGTACTTCTGAGGAAGAGAACAAGAGCTGTTCTGGCGCCCTCAATACAGTAAGTAAGACGTGATTGGCCTAGCACTGTTTCTAAAGAAATATTTACATTTCAAAGTGGTAACGAGCTGTTGCTTATATGTGTAAAGGCTCTTGAAGAACTTGTGAAGGTTAGTGAAGAACTGTGCAGCTTTCAAGAGGAAATTCAAAAGCGGTCTAACCATAGAAGGTAGGCAGATACATCTGATTATTTTAGATTGGTAAATCAAAAAGAATATTGTTTTTAATGAATCCAAACTGCTTCCTCCTTACATGTAAGAACTATTGAGTTATTAAAATGCATTATCTAGGGTGGGAGATAGAAACTTTAATTTTTTGTTTGTTTGTTTGTTTTTGAAATAGAATCTCGCTCTGTTTCCCAGGCTGGAGTGCATGTTTTTGAAATAGAATCTCGCTCTGTTTCCCAGGCTGGAGTGCAGTGGTGTGATCTCAGCTCGCTCTGAACCCACTGCCTCCCAAGTTCAAGCAATTCTTCTGCCTTAGCCTCCCAAGTAGCTGGGACTACAGGCACAAGCCGCTATGCCCAGCTATATATTTTTTTGTGTATTTTTAACAGAGACAGGATTTCACCACGTTGGCCAGCCTGGCCTCGAACTACTGACCTCAAATAATCTCCCTGCCTCAGCCTCCCAAAGTGCTGGGATTACAGGTGTGAGCCACAGCACAAGGCCAGAAACTATAATTGTATATTTCTCTGTTCACTAATTTTTGAAGCAAATCTTCCAATTATCTTTGTAATCTGACTGTTAGTAACTCTTTACTCTTTTTGGTGTTTAATTAAGGTAGACCCTCCATAAAAAAATTAGTAAGTGGGCCAGGCACAGTGGCTCACACCTGTAATCCCAGCATTTTGGGAGGCCGAGGCAGACAGATCACCTGAGGTCAGGAGTTCGAGATCAGCCTGACCAACATGGAGAAACACAATCTCTACTAAAAATAAAAAAATTTAGCCTGGTGTGATGGCACATGCTTGTAATCCCAGCTACTCAGGAGGCTGAGCAGGAGAATCACTTGAACCCGAGAGGCAGAGGTTGCAGTGAGCCAACATTGCACCATTGCACTCCAGCTTAGGCAATACAAGCAAAACTTGGTCTCTAAAAAGAAAATTAGTAAGTAACCTCTAAGATAGTTCTTTCGCATTCTTAGCATTTGAGCAATGAGAGTGTGCAACTGAGCTAATTCAGTTAAATGTATCATTAAACGATGTCAGATTTAACAGTGTGGCATTTTGATTATATAATCATGTTCTGAAATGTTTAATGCTTAAGATTACTTTATTTCACTTCAATTAGTATTTCTATATTGGAGGCCTACATAATTTTCATTTTCAACATATTGTAAATATGTACATGCCACAAAAAAAAATGCTGTTTCTGTTTGGAAATGGTATATACTTATAACAGTAAGTTTTAGCCAAATTAACAGATGCATTTGAATTCTATACAAGTTAAGTAAAGATAGATTATTCTAGGATCAACATTTATCTCTCCTTATGGGTCAGTATGCTTCATTCAGAAAGCTACACAAATGCACTCCCTTTTCATTAGTTGTTAGGAAGCTCAGAATTTTTGTGCTGACTTGCAATATATTTTCTTAGCCAAACATGTTTTAAACATAACTTTGTCCTCATTTGCCCATTTCGTTTTGCTTCTATTCTCTGTTAATAGGTATTTACCCACATTTTCTTGTAAGTTATCTTATTTTTTTTATAATTTGAAGAGGTATAAATACGATTTACCTGTATCAGTGTGATTAAGATTGAATTGTGATATTTAGATTTTTATTTATTGTAACTTAGAAAATTTACCTGCCAATTTTCTTCTACAAATCACACATAATAAAAAGTTCTTATTGTCACCACATGGCCTTTAGAACAAGGTTTAAGATATTTAATTTGTAATTCAAAGACATTACAATTTGACATGACCTAATGTTTCTCTCTTGTTTTTCATTATCCTCTCCACTCTGCTTTATAATTCATCCATATCAAAGTACTCATTTTCCTTTGAATAGCCATAGTTTTTAACCACAGCTCACTTTGCCTGTATACCTTTTACTCAAATTATCCAAAAATTTTTTTCCTTTTTTTTTCAAGGCCAAATAACATCTTCCATTGGGAATTACTCATGCCTCATTGCACTTTTATTTAGATTTCTATCTTACTATTTTAAATGTTATTTCAAATCCAAGGAGAAGAACTTGAGCTCACATTACGTAATGAATAAGAATTCAGCAGGCAGAGAGGAAGTAAGGGAATGGCCAGATAAAAGCTACAAAAAGGGAAATGCCAGTAGCAGAAACCCAGGAGACTCCATAGTTTAATCTGAGGGTAGGTGAAGTTTCAGCTAATAGCGAAAATGAGAGATGAGTTTGGAAAGAGTTTGAGTCAGAGTATGTAGAACATTGAATATAACACTGAGAGGTAGACTTCATTCTACCATAAAAGGACTTGAAGTTTTTGACTGTGAGGTTTATGTAAAAATGATTCATGAGGGAGTTGTGACTCCTTTTCCTATAGCAGAAACTCATTGCTTGAGCCATGGTTTCTTTTGAGAGCATATTCTAAATAAAGTTATAACTAATACACCATGTTTTATCATTGTTTAGGATGAAGTCAGATTCTTTTCTACAGGAAATGCCAAATGTAACTAATATACCTCATGGGGACCCCATGATCAACAATGACCAGTGCATTCTTCCAATCAGTTTAGAAAAAGAAAAACAGAAAAATAGAATGAATCGGAACTGTACCAATGTGCTCCAGAGCAATTCTATGAAAAAATGTGGAACTGATACAATCGATTTGAAAAGAAATGAAACTCCGCCAGTTCCTCCTCCAAGAAGTACCTCTCGAAATTTTCCCAGCTCGGATTCTCAACAAGCCTATGAAAGATGGAAGGAAAGGTTAGACCACAACAGCTGGGTGCCCCATGAGGGTCAAAGTGAAAGGAATTACAACCCTCACTTCCCTTTGAGACAGCATGAGATGTCTATGTTGTATCCAAATGAAGGGAAAACTTTGAAAGATGGTATCATCTTTTCCTCTTTGGTACCAGAAGTCAAAATAGATAGCAAGCCTCCAAGTAATGAAGATGTTGGGCTTAGCATGTGGTCATCTGACATTGGGATAGGTGCAAAAAGGAGCCCCTCTACTTTGTGGTTTCAGAAAACCTGCTCTATCCCCAATATTCCAAAATATGAAATGGTGATCCCAGATTGCCCTGCTAAATCTCATCCCGATCTTCATGTAAGTAATGACTGTAGCTCTTCAGTGGCAGAGAGCAGTAACCCACTTAGAAATTTCAGTTGTGGCTTTGAAAGGGCTATAAGGAATGAAAAGCTGGCAGCAAAGACTGATGAATTTAACAGGACTGTATTTAGAACGGATAGAAATTGTCAGGCAATACAGCAAAATCAAAGCTGCTCCAAATCATCGGAGGATCCCAAGCCTTGTGATACCTCATCTACTCACACAGGTAGCATATCAGAAAGTAACAAGGTGTCTGGTATTTGGAAAACCAGTGCCCACATGCCTGTGCCCATGGAAAATGTGCCTGATAATCCCACCAAGAAATACACAACAGACCTAGTCAGACAAATGCAGGGACACCTAAGTCCTCGCAGTTATCGTAATATGCTCCACGAGCATGACTGGAGACCAAGTAATTTGTCTGGCCGCCCGAGGTCAGCTGATCCCAGGTCAAATTATGGTGTTGTGGAAAAGCTGCTGAAAACTTACGAAACAGCAACAGAGTCAACATTGGAAACTTCTAAGTGCTTCCGGGATAATGGGACCAAATGTAATTCTGATGTCAGTGGTGGTGCCACATTAAGTCAGCATTTAGAAATGCTCCAAATGGAACAAGAGTTTCAGCAAAAGACAGCTGTGTGGGGGAGACAGGAAGTGAAGCAAGGAATAGATCGGAAAAAGATAACAGAGGTGAGAAAGCAAATCACGCATTTTGGTAGCATCCGTATTAGAAATGGCTCTGAATTCAGTTTATAAATCCCATTCATATAAACAGAATGAGGGCACAAGTTTTGGACACTTCTTAGTCTCTTGACCCTGTTTGTAAATAAATATAACTCAACATGAACCTTGAAGGTGTTTTCAAGACTGAGGATAGTACATTATAACTTTTTTAAGATTCTGGGACGGGCAGAGTGGCTCACACCTGTAATCCCAGAACTTTGGGAGGCCAAGGCGGGTGGATCACGAGGTCTCCGGAGACTGAGACCATCCTGGCTAACATGTTGAAATCCCGTCTCTACTAAAAATACAAAAATTAGCTGGGCGTGGTGGCTCATGCCTGTAATCCCAGCTACTCAGGAGGCTGAGGCAGGAGAATCACTTGAATCCCAGGGAGTCAGAGGTTGCAGTCAGCCGAGACTGCGCCACTGCACTCCAACCTGGCGACAGAGCCTCAGAAAAAAAAAAAAAAAAAAAAAAAAAAATCCTGAAATAGGAAACAATAAATACAATAAGTGGATTTAGTAAGCTCAAGAAGATCAAATGTTTTTCTTTCTTGAAAAAAATATTCAGAATGGATGTTTCTTGATTTATAGAATTTCATTCTTTATGAAGGTTAAGTGCATGGAAAATATTTTTAAAATCATTTTCACTTTTCAGTTATTAACTATGATTAGTTCGGTCATTCTCAGCATTTGACTTACGTTCTTTCTCATAGGATTAGTCACATTAATATGAATATGAGAAATACACATCATTTAAAACAGTGCCTAACAGAGTCCTCTTATCTGTGGAACTAAAACACAGTATATATAAATAAGGTTATTTTTATTTGTATGTATTCTTAGCATAGAAATGGACCAAAAAAAAAAAAACCCACTCAAATGGGCATTTAAGTAAACTGTTATGTTTTTTGTTCCTGTCGATTTATGAAAGAATATAATCTTCCTTAGTTATTATAGGAGAAAAAGAGGTCAAAGATATTGGTATTTACAAAGAAGAGTTATAACAGTTCTCTTTTATTCATATGATTTTTAGGAACATAACAAAAAGTTATGAGGTGACATATTGTTATTAATCAATGCTTCAAAACTCCTAGTTTCATAGAATGCAGTGGGTATGCAGCATGATTTTAAACTATCATGCAAGTTGCTTCCTTCTGGTGTAAATAGTTATTATGTGGATTTGAAAGCCTGCAAAAATATCAGCTTTCATCCATCTTAGGAGAAATCTTGCCTATTTCCATAAGGTGCAAAGAGTATCCTGCTTTTGTATTTCTCTGCTTTTTAGTTGAGCCCATCAATATCTGCAACATCCTGTAGCTAAAGATAGGAGACAGAAATATCTGTGCAATAACCAACCAAAATTATCATTAACTAGCAAGAAATAATACTAAGTGATTTCCCTTTTTGCATTCATTGAGAGTTTGGTGAGGAGGTCCTCTACTATAGATCTTCAGGAGAAGTTTTTGTTTTTTGCTTTTTCCCCTTGTGAACAAATCTAAAAAATAGGTCTCAAAAAAGAAAAAGAAACTGCAGGTTACTGTCAGGCCATGGCTAAAACAGAAATAGGAGGCCATCCTCACTGCCTAGCTCAGATGAAAGAGCACAGCCTTCTTCGGGTCTAAGAAGCGTCAGTAAGAACACAGTGTATAAAGTGTGTTATGGAAGCTTTGTACTTGTTTCAATTTTAAGAACCAAGGAATGCTTTTCTTCCATTAAAATAAAAGGAAAGAAGAAAGGAAATTTTAAAAAGAGAAAAAAAGTGAAGGAAACGGTTTTCTGTCATCAGAACATGTCCAAGATACAGCAACTCTGTATTAGTATTAGAATGAAGATGTATTTAAAAGTATTTAATGATAATTTTAAGGTTTTGATAGATAATGCCAGTGATAGTGAAAAAAAAAAAAGCACTGATTATTTGGTTTGTGTGCCTTTAGCTTATTACCTCTAAAAGTGTCAAGAACTTGACATAAATGAACAGTTTCTTTTATAATTTATCTTTTTATTTTTAAATAACACTATAACATCCTAATAGCCCACTAAGAAACATCTGTATTTCCATGATATTCAATTTATTTAACTTGAACTTTTAAATCCTGAGCTTATTAGTTCTACAAAGAGATTAACTGTATCAAAATTTGTCAGTGTGAAGAAAGGTACAAGACTATCAAGTGCTATATTCCATATTAAAATTGAATTGCCTTAAAACATTCAAAACCACAAATATTAGGCAAGTATCTTCTTTAGTTTTCAATGCTTTTTCTTTCTTGTAAATTTACTAACATTTATCTTATAGTTGAGACCCATCATATATTAAGCCCATTGTTGGTGCCCAGAGAGTGAGAGGAATGTCTTTACTTGTGTCCTAGGAATCCATGTCAGTGAATGCCACAAATGGAAAAGGATTTTCCCGACCTGCTAGACCAGCAAATCGCCGTCTCCCCTCCAGGTGGGCATCCAGATCTCCATCTGCACCCCCTGCCGTGCGGAGAACTACCCGCAACTATACCATTTCTCTGCGATCCGAAGCATCGATGGTTTAAGTCTTTGGCCTGGATTGCTATGTTACAGAGGTTCTAGTCCCACTTGTCAAATAGAGCATTCTGAGTGTTTATAGGCAGTCCTGTTCTCTTCCGACAAGCAATTCAAATCCTAACTTTCCATCAGTCTTCAGTGTTTTTAATCTAAGGAATAATTATCTTCCTGTATTTTGATTTCTTAGATCAGAATTTTTTTATGCCATTCTCATTAATTTTCCAATATGATATAAGTTGAAACACTGTATAATATTGTATATTCTTTCTTGCAAGTGGCAGAAAGCGAGGTTATGTGCATGGCCCTGTGTTTGTAGGTGCATGTGTTGAAATAGGAAGTATCCTAGTATGTATTTAGATATGAAAAACTTATGTGCTACTGTTGACTTTGAAATTATAACATGTATACCTATATATTCTTTGTGTTTATTTCAAAGTTTTGAAAATATACAATACTGTTTATATTTTGTATACCTTTTAATAGGTATGCACTTAAGGCATTTGCAGTACGGATATTAATTAACCACTTCCTTGGCCCCCAGCTACATTGAAAAAGAAGAATTATGCACACATCTAACATTGGTAGATTTCTAAAGATAACTCATAAATAATTTCTTAACCCATTTAAGGATAAAATAATACCACTGATTTCCTTGTTTATTCTTTTTAAATAAAAATGTCACAAGTTTAATAGATCAGCTGTCTAAAGCAAGCATAAAATGTTCATAAATGTTTTATGTATTATTTGGTAGTCTAGTATGTCTTTAACTGCATATTTAATCCTCAGAGCCAGTATTATGAGACTGCATTATAAATGACATGACTAAATAATGAATTTATCAGCCTCAGTAACAAACATTTCCTAAATAGAATGCAAAAAGAAATTAAATGATGTCGAATTTTAGTTGTTCTTAAAATTGTGGTAAGCTTTTAGTTTAGCTGCTTTACATGGAATTATACATACTTAGAGGTAAGTCATTTATTATTTTTTTCTTTTTCTAACCTTTTTCTTAAAATTAATAGATAACAAACTAATTTACTATTTTGCTAACAAGGAAGATCAGGAATAATATTTCATTGAGAGCTGAATTATACTTCTTATAGTGTGCTACAAAAACAAAAGGTTTAAACTAAACCTTGACACCCACAGTAGCATCAGGAATAGAAATGCATATTTTGGCTATAATTTGCATACAATGAACACATAAAATCTATATTGAAACTGACAGAAATATGAATGTTAAGGGGCTTGGAATTCTAAATGGAAGATTTTAGAAGGAAATTTGCTCTCTATTGTCTCTATATAAAACCAATTATGTTATGTTATTAGCTATTAATTCTACTTAAGCTTTTCTTTTACTAAGAAAATTCTTATGCCAAACATATTACAAGAGTCATCTCCTTATGATGTATTCGAAGCATTTAGAGAAATTTACTTCATTTTACACCATGACCTGAGATAAAGAAAATAATTTTCAAGTTGTAGACTTCCTTGAAAGGCTTAAGATGGTAGCATGGTGATGTTTAGATTCATACTTTACAGTTTCAGGAGTTAAGTGCAATTAAACTTATAGAATGATTTGGATCAGATGATAACTAAGGTCTATAAATCTACTCTTTTAATTCTTATTTCCTTCAGGAAGATCCTTTTCCATAGGAAGCTATCAAAGAAAACGGTCACCAAGTAATATCACTCTCATAATATGCTTTCCAGCTAGAGGGGAGGAAACACCAGAAAAGTAGAACCTTGGGTCATAAAATGATGGACCTGTTAGGAAAATGCTGTTGAGTGACAATGAAGAGCCTGCCCAAGGACTGTGCAACTGATATGTTCCTCCATCACGGTATCCCAAGTAGGCTGGTATGATCTGTGCTTCCTTCAAATATTGAGGATCTCCTTTAAAAAATGAAATTTCTGATCTCACCCTGTAATCACTAAAGCAAAATTTCCATGGGTAGGGACTGGGACTCTCTGGAGCCTTTAATAAAACAAAAAAGCAAAATATTGATGATCAGGTAGATTTGAAAACAGTGACATTGATTGATCTCTGAATGGATGGATACCCTGGGGTGGTCACTTTTTTATTCCTAGGACTTGCCTTTGTTATCTGTAAATTAGAATGGCTACACTTTCAGGCTTTACAATTTTAAGCCAGTTTTTTCTATTAACAGTTCAATGAACCAATGGGACACATTTTAACACCTTTTTATGTTGACAAATTAGAGTTGAGAAAAATAAACTAGCATCTAGCCCAACCCCTTAACTGTAAAATTGAAAATTTAAGATTATTTGAATGTTCTGTTTTCTCTTTTTAAATATTTTATAATTCTTAAATGGAAAAGCCTATTAGGTAAATGGAAATAATCCTTGAAAATATTTTTTGATGTTTTGTGATTTTTTACTGGTAAATTTCTACTTTAGGTGGGCATTTTCTTCCCAACAATATACTCTTTATTATGCTATCATTGCTAGATTTAAAGGGACTTGTAAGCATTTCTGGAAATATTTGATTTAAAAACATATATTAATAGATGTTTTCCCTAGCAGACTTTTGGAGCAAAAATATTATTATAGTTCAGCAAAGGATTACTGATATAATGAGCTGATCTCAAAAAGGAATAAGAATGAGGCAGAGAAGAGTACTTGAGTTTCTGTGTGAGTGTGTGTGTGTGTGTGTGTGTGTGTGTGATATAAGTTCTCCATATTGCCTTATGTCCCAAAGCCAAATATAAAAATATAAATGATGCTTTGTATAATTCATTTTATCAAAAATTACCCATAACTTTCATTTGTTTTTATATAGACAATGAAGATGATCATATTTCATTTTGCAGATGTGGCCATAAAATATTATTTACTACTAACTACATAGGTGATTTTACCAGGTTTAGTTATCCTGAGAAAACATCTGGACTTAAAAGAGTTTCTGCTTCCCTACAAAGATCTTTAAAATTATTTTTAGACAAATTTATGATAAACAACTGCTTGATATTGAAATCTCCTTCAGCTGTTAGCAGCTATCATATAAAGTAGGCATAAAAAACAACTGTGTGTGGCATTTGTATACATTGAGAACATTTTTCTTTCCCTCCTTTTCTTCAGTGAACTCCAGAAAGTTGAGTATCTTATGAAATCTAAATTCAGATATGTACACTGTTCACTCTGGCCTCTTCCAAAATATCTCTAGATAGTAGAATTGAAGCCAAACCTTCCTGACTTCCTGCTCCTGGCCACACTAAACTCTGTATGGCTTCTCATACACTGACATCCTCTCTGTACCCATTTAACTGCTAATTGAGTCTGATAAAAGTCTTCTTTGAAAAAAGTTTTCACTTTTAAGATTTGCATTTACATCATAAAATTAAATCACTTTCAGGAAAATCACATTTTTATTATAGTACTATTTGCTTTAAATTCTGCATGTTTTTCCTAAGTAGCAAATACATATTATCAGAACTTACAACTATGACTTGTTCATCTTACCCTGAAAATATGTTCCTACAAAAAAAAATGTGCTTTGCACATCAAAAACAAAAATTGGGGATGAGGGGTTCTACAGACAAGTACCAAAGATGATTTCTCATCATGTTTACTGTATGCATATTCATCATAGAAAATAATTTTTTGTTTTAGTGGGAATAAAATCATGATACTTAAAATCTGTACACATTTAAATGATCGTATTAATCCAATAGATTAAATTAAAAATTCCTAGGAAAAATTCTGTTTATATGAAGCTATGGAGAAATCTAGAAATTAGGGAAGGGTCTAGATTTTGAAAGACCTAGGAACTCAGAACAAGTTCATTTAGAGGTGGGAAACCAGAGATTCAAAGAGGTCTGCATGGCTGCCAAGGTTACAGGGACAAAATCTAAGCCTGGACTCACTCATGTTCTGCTCTCCTGTATAAACGTCCTGTGTGCATCTGTGACTTTATTGTTTGCAAAGCACATTCATATTCCTGACTTTTCTGCTTCTTACAATAAATTTCAAGGCAGGCATAGTGATTTCTAAGTAGGAAGGAAAAGTTAAGTAGTTAAGATAATAATTTGTATAAATATTTTCCAAGATGAGAGTTAAATAGATGACTCTTCAGACTCCTAGCTCAGGCTCTTTTCCCAGCCTTCTTCTCCCAAGGAAGAGAAAAGAAAAAAAAAAGGTTGAACAGCTCTTTTTCATTTCTGTCTTGTTGCATTTTATACATGACACTGAAATTATTTATCCTTGCTCTCATTGAGAGTTTCTGTTCATTCTTTCAGTGATCATCAAAAGTCATCACCCTGACTTAAATGGTGTTATCAAATTCAAGAAGTTGTGAACAAAATATTTCCACTTTTAATGCCTTTACCCTGATTGCATATAAATTTTGTATGTAGGACATGAGGTTGAAGTAAACCCAACAAATAGCCAAGCAGTCTTCATCTATAGCATCAACTGAATCCTGACTTCAGTCTTCAAAAAAATGGGAGAATAGTTTCACACTTTGTAAGTTTTATATACTCCAGAATAAATAAGAGCAGTTTGCTTGAAATATTGGTTCATTTGTGCTGCTATAACAAAACACCAAGACTGGGTGATTTATAAAGAATAGACATTTATTTCTCTACAGTTCTGCAGGCTGGGAAGTCCAAGATATATCTGCAAGCAGGTTCAGTATCTGGTGAGGGCTGCTGTGTGGTTTCAAGGTGGTCCTCATTGCTGTGTCTTCACATGGCAGAAGGGGCCAACACTATTCCCACATGGAGAAACAGCAGAATAGCAAGAAGCAGCTGAATGCTGTGTGAAGCTTCTTTTATAAGGGCCTTAAATCCTGTTCATGAGGGAGGAGCTTTTATAATCTAATCACCTCCTAAAGGCCCTACCTCTTAATATTGGAGATTAACTTTCAACATGAATTTTGGAGGGACATATTCAAACCATAGCAAGCATACAGTAATTTCCAATATATATCTCACTCGAAATTACAGTCACATGCTACACAAAACCAGTTCAATGCACATATGTGATGATAAGATTATAATACAATATTTTTGCTATGCCTTTTCTATGTTTACATATACAGATACCTAACATTGTGTTATAATTGCCTTCAGTATTCAGTACTGGTACAGGTTTGTAGCCTAGGAGCAACAGACTATACCATCAACCCCAGGTGTGTAGTGGGCTACACCATCTAGGTTTGTGGAAGTACACTCCGTGATGTTTGCTCAATGATGAAATTGCCTGAGGGCACTTTTCTCAGAACATGTCCCTGTTGTTAAGCCATGTGACTGTAATTGTGCTCTGCTGCCAGTTTCTTTTTGAAGCTTTATTTTTCAATTACTTACTCATGGCAATTTTATAAGAATCATTAAACAAATTTAATCCAGCTATTTGGGATCTGCAGATTTTTTCTTACATAATGCTGATTAATCTCAAAATCGAATTGTCTAACCTGAACTATATATTTGTTTATTTCAATGTTCTTAAAAGTTTCTGTTTAAAGTTAACCCAGTAAAGAGTTTTTGTGAGTTAATGATAACTGTCGTAAAATATCTCATTTGTAATGAAAGCCGGAGAAGCACCCACAATATTCTTTAGAGGCAGTTACATATAGGAGTAATAGGGGGCAGAAGTCCCCATCTATGAAAAATCAGGAGGTAAATTATTGGGAATAAAGATTCTTCCTAGGAAAGCTGAGGTAAGGAGAGAGAAATTGAGACCTGCCATGCCACCTAATTAAAGATGGTGGCCATGTAGCCCACAAAGCCAGATCTAAATGAATTTATGAGGTATCCTACTTAACAAAAGCAAGCACTAGACTTCCCAGGCAGATCCAGGGGCTGGGAAAAGCACTACATCAAGGACTCCAGGGTGGACAGTGCTAGAGGTCAGACAGGCAGTCCATCCTCAAGGAGAGACCTCTTGCTAAAACAGCAGAGAACTGACCTTGGGCCAGGGTAGAAATAAAGTATCCAGGGGAAAAAAAAAAACTGGCAAATGCAATCAAGATCCTGGTCCTGGGGACCAGCATGTAGGAAAGATACAGCCTGAAGTAGGATGCAGGTCCACTGGAAAGAGGAATTGAGAGGTCTTTACCAGCACGTCACATCTTTACTAAAATTGGGACCTAAAAAGACTACAGTGGCAAATGAGGACCCATTTGTAGGCAATTAGGAGAGTAACCACCACTAAGCTGAAATAAATGGAGGCTCAAGGCAGCTTGAGCCCTCATCCGGGACATTTTCAGAAAAAAATCATAGGAAACCACCAGGAGGCTTTTTTTCTGTGAGAGACTGAAAAAGAAACAAAATTGATGCGGTGGGGACGGATCCTCTCTTTTCTCTTTACTTTCCATTTATTGTCATTTTTTGTAACTTTATCCCCAGGACCTAAAACTTTACCTGAAAACATAATAAATAAAACAAGCCATCTATACTTTCATATAATTGACAATAAGAACAAAAATTAAAAGATATATTTTTCTCCAATTGAAATCAAAAATAGGCACACAAAGAGTAGGAGCATTTTTAGAACTTATAAAATTACTCAAAATTGTCTATATAAATATGACGATGAGCATAGGGAACACCTGTACTGCATTGATAAGAATAGATAGTCTCAGGGAGAAAGAAATGCAATGTAAGTATAAGTAAAGAGAGTGAAACTGAATCAACCTGTTCTGAGCTCTTTGACATGGTGGGGTGATGTGCTGCATGGAGCACAGGAAAAGGGACCTCAAGAGCAAGAATATCCCATGTTGATCCACTACTGTCCAGTGAGAAAGGCCAGGCTCTGAGAACAGAAATTTTCTGCCACAGGAATACTTCCTTCTGCTATGGGAAAAGAAAGTGCCCCCAGATGCATCTGTCTCACACAGATATACCTGGAGGTCACCCAGTTCTATCAACTGACTTCTTTCACACTCATCTTAAGAGCTTTCTGATTCTTGATTAGCTACCTAGGTCTTAGAGCAAATACACAACATCTAAATCAGTGTTTCTTGACTGTTTCCAGAAAGTTTTCTCTAATCGGAGAGAAAAGAAAACAGTCCTCTCAAGGTCTCTAATAGTGTCTAAAGCAGCCCATTGTTAAGAGAAAATTCTTTAACTTTGAAGGGTTTTAACATGATAATGTTTAGTCTATAAACAAACCAAGATTCTATCTGCTTCATTCACTAATTATGCCAAGCACTTAGAAAAATGCCAGCAGAGGCCGGGCGTGGTGGCTCACGCCTATAATCCCAGCACTTTGGGAGGCAGGTGGATCACTTGAGGTCGAGAGTTAGAGACCAGCCTGGCCAAATGGAGAAACCCCGTCTCTACTAAAAATACAGAAATTAGCCGTGTGTGGTGGTGCATTCCTGTAATCCCAGCTACTTGGAAGGTTAAGACATGAGAACCACTTGAACCCGGGAGACAGAGGTTGCAGTGAGCCAAGATTGTACCAATGCACTCAAGCCTGAGAGGCAGAGTGAAACTGTCTCAAAAAAAAGATCCTTATGGAAAATGAACACAAAGATTTGAACCTCTTGGTTTGCATGATTTTGTGGAGTTTTCTGGGTCAAGTGAATAGCAAACAATTTTCATAGATCGTCTCAGGCTGCTTACGGTAGGAGTGAATTAATGAAATTTTTAAATGTTTCAATTGCTTGTTATCAGCAACAACAACAAAAAAAAGGTTTTCTTCTCTGCCTCTTTGTATAGTCACAGCTGGATTGAGAGTGCAGATTTTTGCCACACATGCTTAATTTTTGCTGCACTCAATGTGCTTATTTCAAAGCACATTGAAAGAAAACGAATCAAGATTTCTATTTTTTAAAAAAACTTTTGTTTGCATGTATTTTATTTTGTTAGTATCACACCATGTTTTTGTTTCTTCAGTTTCTTCTGGGACATATTTTTTTTCAGTGGATCCTCCTCTTCTGGTTTAGCAACAATTTGTTTCTTTTCCATAAGGATCAACTCAGTGAGGTAGGGGAGTTAATGTATGGATTTAATCAGACCATGAGCTCTGTAAGTCTAGCGTGTCCTGAGTGCTTCGTTCACCTGGATATGCTCAATAACCAGAGACTCTCTATCTAAATCCTTAAGTTCACTCAGCATAACTCTGCATTTTTAAACACATGCAGCAAAAATTCAGCACTCTTTCTGGACCACTGACCCTGTGTCCAGCCCCACTGTTTGTCCTGGACATACCTATCAACTCCACCCTTGTGACATCAGACTAGTGAACACTGTTCCTATAAAGTGACATATTTAGTGGCTTTTTGTTTATGCATACCCTTGATGGCCTGGGTGGACTCATGAGTGTTCTTAAAATGAACACAAAGATTTGAACCTCTTGGTTTGCATGATTTTGTGGAGTTTTCTGGGTCAAGTGAATAGCAAACAATTTTCATAGATCGTCTCAGGCCGCTTATGGTAAGAGTGAATTAATGAAATTTTTAAATGTTTCAATTGCTTGCTATCAGCAACAACAACAAAAAAAGGTTTTCTTCTCTGCCTCTGTATAGTCACAGCTGGATTGAGAGTGCAGATTTTTGCCACACATGCTTAATTTTTGCTGCACTTAATGTACTTATTTCAAAAACTTAAACTGACCTGAATTTATATTGTACAGTAATTTCTGTTCTTGTGTCAGCATATTTTGAGAACCTGAACCCACTGAAAAATGTGCATACAAATCGACACTGGTTTTTTGCTGTTTGGGAAATTTTATAATATAATCACTAAGACAAGATGACCAGAATACTACTAAAGAGACAGCACACTTTAATGTTTCAGACAACTGCTGGTAGAAATTCTGTTATTTAACAGAATTAAATAAGAATTTTAAGAATTAAAAAAGATTTTAATTCTTAAAATTAACAGGCTTAAAAATAACACACGGTCAAAAGACTTGCATCATGTGAGATATCATAATGCTGTCTCTTCTATTGTCTTAGGCAAACAATAGTTCAGGAAACTTTTTGAAGGAGGAAAAATAAGAAATTACATAGACTTTAATTTTATGTAGTTGAATTAGTGTTCACAATTTTATTGTCAATAAAAACTCTTCACAGCTCTCACACTTTAATTCTGTTGCAATCTCATTGCACAGAATTAAAAGCGAAGTGTAATTCACCAATAAAAGCTTTCACAATTTCACTTTCAGGGAGAAGTTACCCTTAAAATGTCTTGGCTGAGAGCCAGGCGTGGTGGCTCATGCCTGTAATCCTAACACTTTGGGAGGCTGAGGTGGGTGGATCACCTGATGTCAGAAGTTCAAGTCCAGCCTGGCCATTATGGTGAAACCCCATTTGAAAAAAAAAGTCTTGGCTTGAATAAGCCAACTTTGAGAACCAGTTTACCCTTAGGCAAAACAATGATTCATCATTTTAACCTATGGTTTAGCCATTGTTATGAAAAGTTTGTAGTTCTTCACTTTAAAAAGAGTAATTCCGCTCTTTCGCTCAGGCCCGTGACGCCGGCAGGATGGGTAAGTGTCGTGGACTTCGTACTGCTAGGAAGCTCCGTAGCCACCGACGAGACCAGAAGTGGCATGATAAACAGTACAAGAAAGCCCATTTGGGCACAGCCCTGAAGGCCAACCCTTTTGGAGGTGCTTCTCATGCAAAAGGAATCGTGCTAGAAAAAGTAGGAGTTGAAGCCAAGCAGCCAAATTCTGCCATTAGAAAGTGTGTCAGGGTCCAGCTGATCAAGAATGGCAAGAAAATCACACCCTTTGTACCCAATGATGGTTGTTTGAACTTTATTGAGGAAAACGATGAAGTTCTGGTTGCTGGATTTGGTCGCAAAGGTCATGCTGTTGGTGATATTCCTGGAGTTCGCTTTAAGGTTGTCAAAGTAGCCAATGTCTCTCTTTTGGCCCTATACAAAGGCAAGAAGGAAAGACCAAGATCATAAATTTTAATGGTGAAAACACTGTAGTAATAAACTTTCATATGCCAAAAAAAATAAAAAATAAAAAGAGTAATTCCAATCATTGAAAATCTGATCAGTATTTTTCTCTGCTTAAACCAGCACGTATATATGTCAAAAGAGCAAGTTTTCAAACTCATCTCCCATTTCTTTTTTTTCTTTTTGAGACCGAGTCTTGCTCTGTTGCCCAGGCTGGAGTGTAGTGGCCCAATTTCAGTTCACTGCAACCTCCACCTCCTGGGTTCAAGTGAATATCCCACCTCAGCCTCCCAAGTAACCGGGGTTAAAGGTGGCTGCCACCACAGCTGGCTAATTTTTGTATTTTCAGTACAGACGGGGTTTCCACGTGTTGGCCAGGCTAATCTTGAACTCTTGGCCTCAAGTGACCCACCCACCTTGGCCTCCCAAAGTGCTGAAATTATAAGCCTGAGCCACCTTACCTGGCCTTATCTCCCATTTCTTTACAGATTAATCTAAAAAGATAAGCATCTAAATGTTTTCTTCCTACTAATATTATACAAAATCCAGCATTTCTTTCCAGCTCAGTAAAGCACACACAAAAAATAAAACAATAGACCTTTATGACCAGCCTGACTAACATGGTGAAACCCTGTCTCTACTAAAAATACAAAAAGCTGAGCATAATGGTGGGCTCCTGTAATCTTGGCTACTCGAGAGGCTGAGGCAGGAGAATCACTTGAACCTCCGAGGCAGAGGTTGCAGTGAGCCGAGATTGTGCCATTGCACTCCAGCCTGGGCAACAGAGCAAGACTCCATCTCAAAAAAAAAAACAAAGAAAAAGAAAAAACAAAAACAGAAAACCAAGAGACAAACTCTGTGAGAGGAAGTATTATTAGTGAGTGACTGCAGGGCTGCTGATTCCTGCAGGATACAGAAATGCTACCTTTCCCACCAAAGTCAGCATCACAGATTTGTTTCCATGCATTCACCCATCCATATGTGTTATTCCATTCATTTTTTTAAATTTGATATATCTTTAAAAAATTATTTTTCCCGGTTATTTCAGTATAAATTATCCTTATAAAATTAGTGAACAAAGATCAGTAACTACATTCCTAAATTATTAGTGTCCATGCTTTCCAATGTGAAATATCAAGATTGATTCATCTCTCCTCCAGTCATTCCAGGCTATCCTTCTTGAATGTTAGAACTGTGGCTGGGCATTTAATAAGTATGGCTTTTTCACCTTACCAGTTTCTTTGCAAGCTCCATGCAAGTTTGACCCTAATTACATTGTGGAATTTATTCTTTTTTAACAGTGTGGAATTTACCAAGTTTTTGTATGATTGTTTGGGGCTTATTGTTGTTGCAAATAGACTTTAAGTTAATTATCAAGTAATTTTGAATTTTCAATTGTGGTTTTCATTCCTAGTGAATATTTTTTTTCTTTTGTTGATACAATGTTTTCTGGTTGCTTGAGCACTTAGTTCATTTTTATGTTACCAACAAAAAACAACGAAGATTTATGTAATTATTCTCAGGATTTTATCCACTAAAAGATATATATATATCTATATATATATATATATATATATATTTTTTTTTTTTTTTGAGACGGAGTTTCGCTCTTGTTACCCAGGCTGGAGTGCAATGGCGTGATCTCGGCTCACCGCAACCTCCGCCTCCTGGGTTCAGGCAATTCTCCTGCCTCAGCCTCCTGAGTAGCTGGGATTACAGGCATGCGCCACCATGCCCAGCTAGTTTTTTGTATTTTTAGTAGAGACGGGGTTTGACCATGTTGACCAGGATGGTCTTGATCTCTTGACCTCGTGATCCATCTGCCTCGACCTCCCAAAGTGCTGGGATTACAGGCTTGAGCCACCGCGCCCGGCCCACTAAAAGATATAAGGATCAAACCTTTGGCAGTTACACAACATTAAAGCTATTTTAAATATGCCTCTGAGTATATCCGCTATTTTTAGATGGCATCCACCTACTAGCACTTCAGTAGTAAAGAGAATGGCCTGTGATATTTTTCACCATCAATTTCTTTGGGAAAACCTCATTTCTCCAATATTTGCAGATTTCTGATTGTACTAAAATTTTAAAATTTTGAACTTTCTGTATTAAATCACAGTATGTGTTTCCTATTGGACATATAGTTTTAAAATTATTACACTTTAAATGTACAAGTGGAAAAAAATGGTAACCATACACACAAAACAGATTACTTAGTGGGGAGCAAGGGTGATATTTATCTGCTATTAGTAGGATGTAGAACTAAATGGAATCACATGCTTATTAAAAAAAGTATATAATGAGAGTAACTTAGAAACTTTTAAGCTTCACTTTGGAATCAATGACTTTTGGTGGGGTGTGATCTAAAACAGTGATTCCCGCAGTAGCAAAGTAATTTATCAAAATACTGGCTGTGTGGGTCTTTGTGTTTACATGAAAAGACATCACAATTTTCAGCTCTTCTACTCTGGTAAGCAGTGCCATGAGCACCCTCAGCACACCCTGGTCTTCCCCAAGTAGCTTGCCCAAATCAACTGTTTGGGAATGCAATGTTAATGCCACTTTATTCTCCAAGAACAGAAGTGCCAAATTTTCTAATCAACAATTGCACATAAAAATTTATGCTTTCCAGGCTTAAATAAAAGCAACACAATATTCACCAACAAAGAAAATAAAATGTTCTAGGTTCACTGAGTTGGCATGTACCAAACACATTTTTTTAAACTTTTTATTATGAACTGATAATAAACTCATGGGAGGTTGTAAAAATAGAAGAGTCCCATGTACCCTTCACTCAGCTTCCTCTGATGATGACATCTTATATCGCTGTAGTACAAAATCAAAACTGGGAAATAAACCTTGACACATTTAAAATCTGCATTCATTGTGTGTGTGTGTGCATGTGTATGTGTTTCTATGCACCCATTTCCATGTACAAATTTGTGTAACCACCACTATAGTCAAAATACAGATTTGCTTAGCACCACAAAAGAACTCCCTTCAAATACCTCTTTGTGTCTCCCCTTCCTCACTACACCTGTCCCTGTGGCCTGGCAGCTACTGATCTGTTCTCCGTCTCTGTACTTTTGTCTTTTTGAGGGTATTATATAAATGAAATAATACAGTATGTAATATTTTGAAATTAACTTTTTCAGTAAGCAAAATGCCCTTGGAGTTAATTCAGATTATTACATAATATCAACAGTTCATTACTTTTTATTTCTGAGTAGTAATCTATTGTATGGATGTACCGGAGATTTTCCAACCGTATACTCATTTAAAGACATTTGAGTCCATTTCCAGTATTTTACTATATAAACTATTCTTAACATTCAAATAAATGTTTTGTGTGAACGTGTTTTAATGTCTCTGGGACAAATGCCCAAAAAATAATTCCTGGTTGTACAATAACTACATGTTTAGGTTTGTAAAATCTGGCAGACTATTTTTCAGAGTGACTGCACCATTTCCATTCCCAACAGCAATGTACAAGAAATCTAATTTTCTCCACATCCTCCCTGGTATTCGTTACTACAGTCTGCCTTTCATATTCACAGAAGATTGATTACAGGACTCCTCCTCTGACTGATACCATATCCTCTGATGTTCAAGTCTTTTACATAAAATGAGAAGTGTCACATAGGGAGGGTCAACTATATAATTATTTTGTATTTTGGATGTTCTGATAGATGTATACTATTATCTCACTGTGGTTTTAATTTCCATTTCCTAAAGGCTAATGATGTTGAATATCTTGAAATGTGCTCATTTGCAATGCATGTGTCATTTTTGAGAAAATGCTTTTACATTTATTTTGCCCATTTTCAAATGGGATTTTTAAAATACTGAGTTGTGAGAGTTCTTTATAGAAGGACTTTGTCTGAAGCATCTTTGTCAGATACTGCAGATGTGAGCCACAGTTATTTTATTACAATCTGTAGTCTGTCTTTTCAACCTCTTCAGAGAGTGTTTTGTGGGGAAAGTTTTTAATTTAATGAAGTCTAATTTATTAATTGTTTTCACTAATGGATCATGTTTCTAGTGTCAGGTCTGAGAAACTTTACCTTGCCCTAGCTCCCAAAGATTTTCTCCTATATTATATTCTAAAAGTTTTATAGTTTCATATTTTACGTTTACATCTGTGATCCATTTTAAGTTAGTTTCTTTAAGTTGTGAAATTTAGGTGGAGTTTCATTTTTTTTTTCTCATTCTCATTACTCTTTTTCCCATTTCTCATTCTGTTGTGAGTAACTGAGATATATTTTAGAACACTACTTTGGTTTATCTAGTGTTTCTTAATGTATCTCTTTGTATAGTTTTTAATGGTTGCTTTCATTACAATGTTCAGACATTGCCTGTTACAGTCTACTAGTATCAACATCTCATCACTTTGGGAGAAGTGTAGGAACAGTATCTTTGTTTAGATCCTTTTAGTCACCACACTTTTAAATATAAATGTCTTCAATATTTTCTCTACATATTTTAAGCACCATATCAGATGAGGTTATAATTCTCATTTCAACTTCAAACATGGTTTAAAAACTCATGAGACAAAAATATAGTCTATTATTTTTACCCATTTCCTCTTTATACTCCTTCCTGAAATCTCAGCCTCCTTCTGTTAGCGTTTCCTTTCTCTTTAGAGAACATCCTTTCAGACATTTTTTAAGGGTAGTTCTTCTGGTAAGAAACTTTCTTAGGTTCCTTTCACCAGAGAATGTCTTTACTTTCCCGTTCTTCCTGTGAATATTTTTACTGAGGTTGACACCAGAACAACGTTGTCCCACTTTCTCTTTACTTTCATAAGTTCAGATAAAAAAATCACTTTAACTTTAATAATTTCCCTCTATAGATAATGCAGTGTTTCTCTACAGTGTGTTCTAAGATTTTACTGTTTCGTTTTTTTTAATTTAGCTTTCAGAAGTTTCATTATAATATGTCTTGGCATAGATTTCTTTAATAAGTTTATCTTGTTTGCATTTCACTCAGTATTTTGAACTGGTAGGTTTATGTCTTTCACTCAGTTTGGGAAGTTTTCAGCCATTATTTATTTGAAT